AGCTTTGCGCGAAATTCCAAAAACAAACAAACAAACAAACAAAACAGGGACTGTATTTCAACAAAAAAACATTACTACATTGCAATTAATCATGAAATTGTTAGTAAAAATTAGAAAAGGTGTAACCAAACTATACTTTAATTTGCAATGCACATATTTATACTATACCTTGGAAGTAAGGAATCATACGGCACATGGCTTCTCCAAAAACGAATTCTCGGAGCAATGCTCCAGCTAAGGTAAAAGGCATACAGAAAACTCCCAGAAGCATATCACTGATGGCCAGGTTCATCAGGAAGACATTGGTCACTGTTCTCATTCTCTTATTGATGGCAAGGGTGATAATCACCAGCATGTTTCCTACAATAGCCAATAAAAAAATGATGCAGTAAAGGAAAATTAAACAAATTTTCTCTTCAATGCCCACAAACGAATGTTTGTTTGAATCATTTTGAGTGTCGTTATCGTTCGCAACTTTTGATGAGTTGGTCGTTAACGAGTGGAAAACTGGATTCATTATGTTTCCGTTAAAAAGCTGGTACCGGAATTATGGCGGTTTTCTTTGTGATACTGAATGATCTTGTATTTTAATCCTCCTCCGATTTGTATCCTTTGGGCTATACTTTAAGGCCTTACTTATTTGGTGGCTTCTTCTTGTCGCAGAATCTAAGATAAATAACGAAGAAAACTTACGTGAACAAAATTTGACCTCTGTCATTTTACTTAAACAACAACAAATCTTTACTCAAAGTATATCTAGAAAGCTAAGACTAAGAAAAGCAAAGTAATATAGACTGTGACCAGCTTCTTCCAGGTTTAAATTTTGTTCACAAATTCGTAATAATTTAGATCAAAATTCAAGCAAATTGATATTTTCACACAGTATGATAAACTGTTAAGCACCTTGGATTAAAACATTAATATCAATAATTTAATAGTAAGAAAAATGTGTATCATATGTGTCTTTAGCTTATTGATTATCATATGTGTTTTTAGCTTATTGAGTTTTAAATATTTACCATTTTCCGAGTAATCACGAAATTCGTATTTTGTTTATCTGGTTTGGATATTCTCATAAAGCTACACAAGTGTTATCAGCGCTAGTAGTCTCAAATTTTGAGCTAATAGACTAGACGAAAAGCAGATAGTTAATAGCACCCACCGTCAACTCTTAGGCTATCTAATCGAATAGCGGAATTTGGTAATAACACTTATAATGCACCAACGGCCCAAAATGTGGAGTGACATTTTTTTTCTGCAATAACGAGATGCGAACAATGGACCTTCGGATTCACAGTCTGCTCTCTCAATTCATAACAGCTCATTACTGGTGCTTCATTCAAAATAATTCACCTGGCTTTATAAAGTTATGCATTTCAACAAATGTTTTGCTGCCCAATGCATTTATTGATTTATCTTGAATTATTTAAAAATATTGAACTAATTACTAAATTTCAAAGTATGCCACATTGTAATATATTTTATATTTATTATAGATTTATGAGGCTTTGCTTCTAAATTGATGACTCACCGTCGCCTGGAGGATTAAAGAAAGAGACCCGATAATATTGAGATAAAAAAGCTCTAAAAGCCCGTTCTGCAGTATCATATTTAACAAAAGAACAGACACTGCCAACTTAGGAAGTACGTACTAAAATAAAACTCATAGTTAAATGTAATCTATGTGGCACAAAATGAGAACATAAATTTTGTCAAGCTTATAAAATATAATCTAAGAGGTTAGAATAAAATCGTGTTTACATTTCTTTGGAATATCAGACGTACTAAATTACGCCTGGACTCAACATATTTTGTTATAGCAGTGAAAAATACCATTAAACTTTTCAAGCTGAACCATTTAACCAAAGACACTCATATTTACACAATACTTGTATCATACGTGTAACTGCTATAACTATTAATACTGCTTAATAACTTAAGTAAGAGAAAGCTATTTTCAATTATTATGGTGCTTGAATTGAGCGAAAAGCGTCGTCCGTAATGGATAAGGCGAACATAGTGTGGTTAGAATACTATTATTATACACTCTTCCAATTCTTACAGATCCCTAAGGGACTTGGTAATGAATGCGATGTTAAAATGTAATAGGCCTAATAATAATGTCTTATGATAAGTATAATTAATTATAACCGTGCTTTTCCAGCTTGGAAATGGAAAAAGCGTTTACACTATAACAATAAAACAAACTTCGCGACTATACTGTCTAACAATAATGCATCCTTCGTGATGAGATGTGGCACTTATCATACTGTGTAAAAGTTAAAAAAAAAAGTGTGTGAGAAACTCTCAAGTGTTACCGTAAGGTGCATGCATAACGAGATATATACAGTAGTTATTAAACGTTGCAACAATTATTAGTCTGTGTTGGAAACATTCGTAATTTTCAACGACAAACAACTTTCCTTCTTACTGATTCAACAGCTCATGATATGTTTGTATAACGTTTGCTCGTTTGGCAAAATGCAACTGTTGAAAGTAAGAAAACAACAACAGTAAACAATTTTAGGATTAAGGTAGATATAAAAGTATATACAAGTAGTTGAATATTTAGCTTTAGGCAGCTTTCACATCTGAACGGTGAGTAGTCCAAAAAACATTGAGACAAACAACTGGCGACAATATTTTTTAAGTTCATGATCACTTAAGCTTTAGATGTTGGATGCAATTAAGTTAGGTGTAAATAGATATCTAGAGGTAATTCAAATAGTGTCCAGTAGTAAATGTGGTTGAATAAAAAATGATATTAATTATCTTCTTCTTTGTTGTTTGTTTGTAATTAAGCACAAAGCTACACAATGGGCTATCTATGCTCTGCCCACCACGGGTATCGAAACCCGGTTTCTAGCGTTGTAAGTCCGCAGACATACCGCTGTGCCACTGGGGGGCATTAATTATCATGTTATTGTTGTACCATAAAATTCAAACATTGTTTTATTACAAACGGAAGAAGGTAAACTGTATTTAATATAAATTAGTAAGGAATAAAACATTTATATTATATTATATAAATATATATTAAGGATGCACGGGTACCCGCCCAGATACTCGGCCCCGGCCGGTTATTGAGCTACCCGGTACTACTTGGCTCCGACCGAGTGTCGAAGTTAAAAACAGCCGAATCCAGGTAATTGAAAAAAACATCTAAGCCATTATCTTTGTGGCAACTTACACACTACTGAAATTATAGTCAATAATTGGTTTAGTTAAAAAAAAAAAAAACGTAGTTCCGAGCAACAAAGACTGACCGCCCGCTGAAAGTTGGGGATTCAGAGAACAACAGAGGTTAATAACAGGCATGGCTTGAAAAGTGGATTTCTCGTAAGGTGGGAGCTTTGAGAACAATAGGGGTTAAGGTTTGAGAAGTTGGGGCTAGGCATTAATCGGAATAATGATTCTACAAAATGTCAACGTCACTGTTTCTGTGTTTACTTTCACTTTTGGAAGTCAAATGAAGCTCGATTTCCCACAATGGCCAGGATAGAAAGTCGTTATCTCTACGCACCTCCAACCAATATAGACAGCGAACGGACTTTTAGCGCCGCTGACAACATTATCACACACGAAAGGTCAGGCTTTTACCCGAAAACGCCGAAATGCTACTTTTCTTCAAGTACAATTTAAACAAGATCCAAAAATACAGGAATTCTGCAAACTGGTGTGCACATTTTGTTAGTTAATTTTGAAAGTTGAAAGTAAAACTGGAATGTTATATTGGTGATTATTCGGTTAAATGTAATAAACGTCAATTTTGTTTTTGTACCTAATTTTTGTGTATGCTGTTTGTTTGTTGTTGTTTTGGGGGAGGGCGAGGGGAGAACCAGGTCATAGTTGACACCCGACCGAAGCTTAGTGGCCGGGTACCCGGGCCCAGTATTTGGCCAAATTTTACTACCCGTGCATCCCTAATATGCCCTCAGTTGCACAGCGGTATGTTTGCGGAATTACAACGCTAGAAACCGGGTTTCGATACCGCGGTGGGAAGAGCACAGATAGCCACTTGTGTAGTCTTGTGTACTTAACTTACAAACAAACAAACATACCTATATATATATATATATACATATATATATATATATGTACGTTGTTACACATACACACATTTTTTAAAGTATGTAAGACCTTCAAGAAACCTAACTTAGCTCGCCAGGTAAGGCGGAAGAGAAAAAGCGTTACATATAAAAGACAAACATATTTCAAAAATGTAAAATATACCTTAGTAAGAAAGTCATCTATGTAAAAAAGCACCAATGCAGCGGTAGGAATACACTTTCTATCATATTTAACTCGTATTCAGAGGCCGTATATAAACATAATGGGCAAATGTGAATGATGAAACCCATGAAGTATCACATCTAAAACTATCGTTCACCTCCTTCAGCTGGTTGGGGGAAGTATTTGCTCTTAAAAAACGGGAATGAACTACGAATTAGTTTTCTTAACCAACAAAATATATTATTACAATCCGACAATTATGGGTGATATGTAAAAATCTTATACCTTGAAGGTATCATTCCAAACCCCCATAATGATTAATCACCTGTATGAATGTCATAGTTACACCTGAGATATCTAAGTTATAGTTGCTACTATTATCAAAATACAAAGGAAATAATTTTTCCTCAAAATTTCAAACGCAAGGGAATAGTAAAAACATTCGACCAATTTCCGCCCAGATTAATATGCTAGATCGGTTGCACAGATGAACCATTTACCCACTTATGCTGTCTAACATACAGGTGATAGAAACCTTCCACGTGGTTCATGCCAAAATACACATGGTCTAATTGAAGTAACCTACATATGAAGAATATATATATATGTATTAAGTAATGTATATATATATATATATTAAGTAATATATACATATTAAGTAATATTATGTACTTCCGCAGATACCTTTCTAATCAAGGTACATGTTAACTATTCTACATTACAGTTTCTACCTCAGTTTTATTTGGCTACATTTACGTGTGAAGCCGTTATTTTTTGGTCTTCATGTCTGAAAAGTTTCATTAACATACTACCTAAACTAAAGAGCTGCTATTGTTAGGCCTTCTTTCCCTTAGATGTGAAAATGATCTTAACATTTGTGTAATAAGTTGTTAAGTAAATTAACCTTTGTTTAGTACGTTTTATATATGCTTACATTTTATATAAAAAGACAGATAAACAAGCCCAACCAGAAGGTATGTTGTTGATGTTCTCTGATTATGTACTTTTATAAATTCAGATGAAGAAAAAGTGAGTAAAACCTTATTAGATGAAAATCATCAGGGCTAAAGCAAAATCAACAAATAAAAGAGCGAAAAACAAACCGCACAATATTCACAGAATGGTTGACCGAAGCGAAGATAAACGAGAATATGAAAAAGCTGGACAGTGGTTTGTAAAACTAAGTAAAAAGCCTAAGTATAAGTGAAATGAAACGTGACAAATATACCATTTCAAATTTGATAAGGAGAGCTATAACGAAACCGAAACCAAAACCCATAAATA